TGTACAGAGCCTTGGGTGCCATGGTTTAGCGTGAGGTGTCTCTGCCTATGGAAGGGGGGTTGGAACTAGATGATCTTAAGGTCCTTTCCAACCCTAACTATTCTATGATTCTACGATTACGACCTAGGAGAAGGATGGAAGGGCTTGGAAAAACAGAAACAGGAACAATGTAGAATGGAAATCTGCACGGAATTCATGAGGCCTGGGAAATAAGGAAAAACTTAAAACTTCCTTCTTGGAGCTGGACGGAACATTCATTGCAGGCAGGTGTTTGGTGAGTTTCGTGGTTTGAGCCCTGCCAGTAACTCAGAACCATGCACCCGCTTGCTCACTGCCCCCTTTTCCCCTCCTCCTCATTCTTGGAGGGATGTGGAGGAGAATGGGAAGAATGTAACTCCCATGGGTTGACATAAGAGCAGTCCGGTAACTAAGGTATAACACAAACTACTACTGCTACCACCAATAATAATAATGATAAGGAAATAACAAGGGAAGAGAATACAACCGCTCACCACCCCCCGACTGATACCCAGATCAACCCAAGCAATGATCTGGGCCTTCTGAGTATCTCTCCCCTGTTCATATACTGGGTATGATGTGCTGTTGTATGGAATACCCCTTTGGCTAGTCTGGGTCAGGTGTCCTGTCTCTGCTTCCTCCTGGCTTCCTGTGCCACTCCCCACTGGCAGAGCATGAGACTGAGAAGTCGTTGATCGGGGTAAGCATTATTTAGCAACAACTAAAAACATCAGTGTGTTAGTTAGCATTGTTCTCAGGCTGAAGTAAAAAACACAGCACTGCAGCAGCTACTAGGGAGGAGAAAAATAACTGTTAGAGCTGAACCCAGCACAGTGAGGTCTGTGAGGAAGAGGCTGAGAAGAGCAGTGGAACTACAGGGATAACGTTTACCTGCAGTGGTGCCTCCGCTTGGCCAGCCAGAATTCACAATCGCAGTTAAAACAGTGTGAGGCCATATGGTCTGGAACCCACCGCGTGACCTAGGGCAGACACCAGTCCTCATCAGCTCTCAGTTTGTAACTCCACAACAGCCATGTCTCAGGACCTCAGCGCTGGCTGAGATGTGGCTTTGGACCATAACAGGTCAGCCAGAGTGAGCCCACCCCACAGGCTGCCCTCTATCAGACACAGCAGCACCAGAGGGTGTCCTAAAGGACAAGGACTCCCTTGCTTCCAGATCACTCTCTGCTGCCAAAGTTAGCCACAATGAAACATCCTCTCCTGCTGCATTACTGCTGCTGCACCAGGACACATACCTCAGTCTCCTTCTTATCCACAGGCTCCCAGCTTGCTTCTGACAAACAGTCCTCACTATGATCAGAACGGAAATCCTCAGTGTCGCTGCTGTCCGATTCCTTCAAACATGTCTGCAAAAAGAATCACATCAGACCTCCTCAGCTGCCTCTGTCACATGGCCAAGGCCATTCCCTACTCCAGCCCCACTTAGTGCTTGCTGAGGGCATGCGGGTGGCTCCACAACTCCCCATACAAAGGATTGAAGCACTCATGACCATATAGGAGCCATTGCTTGGCCCTCAAGAAGCAGAGGTACTTCTGGGTGACATGAGAACACGGTGCATGGAGAGGAGAGGAACAGGGCTGAGGAAACACAGGAACCACCCACTCCAGAAGAAAGAGATCGAGACCCACGGTCAGAGAGGGCAGTGTAAGGGATGCAGTTACTTACAAAGTCATCCTCGTAGTCCATGGGAGGTTCGGCTGGGGGCGTGCAGAAGTGGCGGATGTCCAGACGCAGCTGCAGCTCTCGCACTTGCCTGCGCAGCTGCTCTACCTCCTGCTTGTAGCTGGCCTCGATCTGCCGCAGCCGGTGCTGGATCACATCCGTGGGGAAGGGCAGCCCGTCATCGTCCAGGTAGAGAGGAGGCACAGGAGATGGACATTTTGGTGGCATGTGCTTGGGACCAGACACTTGTTTCAGGTGGCAGGGTAGCCATGAACGGCTGGGCTTCCCTGCAGAGCCCGCACAATGCATGCTGTGGCCAGGGCAGGCTGAGGACTTTGCACCTTCTCTGGCAGACCACTGGCTGTTGAGGCACAAGCTTGGTACCCGCAGAGCTTTGCTGCTCACCCTCTTGCTACAGCAGCCATAGGAGAGGAGGTGCTTGGGTGCAGGCTCGCCAGTGGGGAGCGATGTCACCATTCCTTGAAAACTGTCCCAGTTGGACCCCAGGAAGGAGAACTCACTGCTTTGGCTCTGGGAGATGGGCTTGCGCCACTGCTCCAGAGGGACTCTCCCCAGCCGGGCTGGCTCCTCACAGGGCATGCTAATTCCAGCATCACTTTTGCTATTGTCTTCATCCAGGCAGGGGATGGTCAGGGCAGGGCCTGGGATGTCCCGGAAAGGGGTGTTTGTTGCCAGGGACGCCTGGCTGGGAACGTCTTGGCATGTGGCATTTCTCTTGGGGCAGTCTCCTCCACTGGACACCATGCCAGCAGCCTTCAAAGGTTCCTGGGGACAGGTTTCTAGTTCCTGGGAACAGGAATCTAACTGCTTTCCAGAACTGGTGGAAACCCTGTCGGTATCTTCCTGTCCAGAAGAATTTGGAGCTGGACACATGCTGTCCACTTCCTCCATGTATGTTCCATTTCCCTTTTCAGCCTCCTCAGAGACACTGCTTGCTGGCACTGAAGCCCAGCTGCTCAGTTCCTTGCTGTGTCCTTGGTGCTCAGCATGCTTGCTGCAAGCGCTACTGACTTGCAGGGCAGTGTTTTCCTCTTCCTCCTCCACCTGCCGTGGGTCTCCTGCAGCCACCGCACTGCCTTCACCCAAGTGCAGCTCAGCTCCCTCAGTGGTGCTGTGCCAGGCTTCCAAGCCCACCCGGACTTCCTGACAGTGGTTATTCAGGTTGGGATCACTAGACGTGCGGGTCAGCGGGCTGCTGGAGTCACAGGCTGAGAGCAGGTCGTCCATAGATCTTGTCTTTGGTAATCTAGAGTGCAAAAAAATACAAAACCATCTCAACAAAAACCCTGAAACTTCCCTCATTTCAGTCAAAACTGAGATAAGGGAAATGCTCCTAATTGTAGATCATAGGGTGGGCAGGGACCGGTGGAGCAGCAGGATGAGCTGAACTGCACAACTCTATAGCATGGCCTTTGCCCTTTTAGGTCCAGTGGAGGACTGAACATGTTCCTCGCTGCGACAATGCTAAAGGGCTCCTGCTCTTCACAGGAAGGATGAGAACCACAGGTAAACCAGAGGAACTACAATGAGCAAGGAGGGAAAGAAGGACTGTGAGTAGGCAGCAACCTGGGCCTTGAGCTCTGTGCTCTTACCTGTCCAAACATCTGCCATTGAACTCCTGGCTCTGAGATCCAGGGGGTGGATAAATGTCCATATCATCCTGTCCCAGAGGATGCGGCGAGGAAGTTGGGAGATACACTGCTGTCCAAACGTGCAGTGCTCGCACATGGCACACTGGGTGCAGCACCTGCAACAACCACTTCTGATTAGAAATGAACACAAAAGGAAACCCCTCCAACCTCTCCCCATGCTACCCGTGTTGCCTGGCAGGCAAAAGGCCTGGAAAGCTGGGCCAGGAGCTTTACAGACCTGCTCAGATCCTGGCATGTAGAGAAGATTGTGGAAGTTCTTATTGCCAGCTCGCAGGAGGGACCAGACAGAGCAGGTACGCTTGTAGATGTTGTGCATCTCTCGCTCGCAGGGACTGTTCCCAAGGAAGGTCCCATAGAGGCAGGAATACGTGTGCTGCACCAGTTTCACCTGCAGCATCAGGAGGGGGACAACTGTCAGAGTTCTTAGGAACTGGTGTCTCCTGTGTACGGGCCAAACACCCTCCACTTTTCTGGGATGGCTCACACATTTCCCACCCGGCTGGTGACCTTGCTGCTGTCCTCTCTTCCACACAGGGCAGGGCAGAGAGGAGAGAACAACAGGAATCACCTACATTAAAGTGAAATCAACAGTCCACTGATAGCATACCCATCCCTCCGGAACCCAAACCTGTATTATTTGATACGACAGAGATTACTAGCTATTATTCCCTGGCTTATGCTTCATACTTGTATTGCTCTGAGATACACAAATCAGGCTTTCAATCAGAACAGCACTGCCGATGGTATCTGGGCCAGAAACAGACCTGAAGAAGAAGGGATTCAGGGAAACCAGAGAACATAAACTCTTCCTCCCTGTAAAATCAGCTGGGTGCTCTGAGCCTGCAGCACCGCTGGGAGGGGGAGGAAATGGCCAACAACTCATAGAAGCATCACACACACAGAGCCAGGTCAAAATATCACAACCAAAGGGCAGGGCTTGGACCCACACAGAGAAGGGATGTCAGGAATGCAGCAGAGAGCCCCAGCACTGCTCAGACACTTTCCCATTTTTAGAGAATCCAATTTATGTATTCTTTCAACTACCACACTGCAAAAAATCATGGCCCTCCCTCCACCTCTGCTCACATCTGGCAAGGAGAACAAAGATATGTTTGCATGCATATTTCTTACCAAGAAAGCTTCATTGAATTCAAAGAGGCAAGGAAATTGCTTCAGAAGCTGATGAACAGCATCCAGCCACTGGAGAAAAACTGGGCACTGCTCATTCTGATCTTCCACCTTCTCCTGGTGACCACAGCGATCACCAAACTTGTGACCAAAATCCAGCCAATCTGATTCAACAAGTACCTGGAAGCCCTGTGTATACAAGAAAATGTACCTGCAGACCCTTTGCTGTAGACCCCATACCCCAGCAATGCCAGGCAGGCTCAGTGTTGCACCAGTACTTCGTCTGGGAGCAAAGCTACCTGAATGGCAGAGATTGCCAAACATGAACTCACAGCTGTTATTTCTATACAACAGACAGCTTGAAGAATATGCACAGAGTAGGGAAGCAGCTGAACCTTGAACACAAGAGGCTATTTACTGCAGCGCTTCACCAGGGTGGGGAGAGCAGTGAGGTACAGTACACTGGAAACAGGCAGAGGTGAGCATGATAAAAACCAGCATGTGCAATAGCAGCTCTGAAGTGCCACTAAGCTCATTAACAAATGCAATCCTGCTTTCTCTGGAGACTTGTGAAATAAAGGGGGCCTACAAAGAAAGCCGGAGAGGGGCTTTTGACAGGGGCCTGTAGGGACAGGCCAAGGGGAATGGCTTTAACCTGCCAGAGGGGAGACTGAGATGAGCTCTTAGGCAGAAGCTCTTCCCTGGGAGGGTGCTGAGGCGCTGGCACAGGGTGGCCAGAGAAGCTGTGGCTGCCCCATCCCTGGCAGTGTTCAAGGCCAGGTTGGACACAGGGGCTTGGAGCAAGCTGCTCTGGTGGAAGGTGTCCCTACCTGTGGGAGGGGGTTGGAGCTGGATGAGCTTTAAGGCCCCTTCCAACCCAAACCATTCTAGGATCCTATTATTATGATTCTATGACAAAATGCCTTTCAACAGCCATGAACCAGCAGCACAGCACCACTCGTACCTCCATGGTCCTGTAGTAAGGGTCCAGAAGAATCTTGGCCAGTGCTACAATCTGTGGAGTCCTGTCCCAGCCATCGGAGCAATGAACCAGCACTGGACGCCCTTCTCTGTCAACCGCACTGGAGACTAGCACTGCTGCTTTCAGCATGACAGAAAGGTGCTGCAGCCACTTGGTACTCTCCAGGGCTGAAAGCCAGCTAGAACGTGGGCAAAAAGCAAGAAAACCGTTGCTCCACTCTCCAGTGAGAAAATAAGATAAATTTTAATCTAAGTCTTTTTGGAGCCCTCTATGAAAACCGGTCTTAAAAACACATGTTCCAGAGGAGCCAGCCAGCCTGGGATTAAGTGCAAAGAATCCAACTCTTAATTTCAGTTTTCTCCCAGATACAGCCACATTTTAGAAACCCTCAGAGAACACACACAGCTAATTGACACTTAGGCAGTGCTGCAATCCCCTCTGGATTACCAGGGATCCAAAAAGCAGCATTCAAGCACTGTGAGCACTTTCCTATCTTTCAATTTTCTGAGGTAGAAACCTGAGATGGGAAAAAGGAGAAGGGAGGGAAAAGCCCCAGGACATTCATATAGCATCAAAGTCAGCTAGAGAAAAGTCACTCACTTGCTGGGGTCTGGCACCTGGCTGCAGACAGCACGCAGATACTGGAAGCTGTTCCGGATGGAGTGGATGTTGGCCATGCCCATGAACACGACTTCACAGTTTGGGTAATACTCTGAACACAACAGAGACAGAGATGTTCAGAGAGAGCTGCTGCCACCGCAGCAACACATGTGGAGGCTGTCTCCTCACCACACAATTCCTGGTCCCCAGCAGGCAGGCAGGCCTACAGAAGCCTTGTGGACCTGCAGCAATGTATCTGCAGTAACAGACTTTGCACGAGCAAGTAGAGGAACATGCTCCCAAAGTACCAAAACCTGACCTGACCCCCACCTGCTCTAGGTCCTGCTCAATGTAGCAGGTCCAACAGGAAGACGTCCTGGGATGGGCTCAGCCCTGTGTACCTTCACATTCGCAGCCGCCTCCCTTCGCTCTGTTGGCCACAGCTGCAGTGTAGGACCTGGCATCAAGAATCAGCAGCTTCTGAGGAGTTCCAGCATTCTCCACACCTGAACACGCAGTCAGGGACGAGTCTGCAGAGACAGACATGGACTGAGGTCCTGGCACCTCCCTCTCCTACAACCTGCCCCCAGGGCCACCCAATGCTGGCCATGAATGGGCCCAGCAACCCATCCCACACACTGCAGACAAGGCATGACAGGGCCCAGATTATCCATTTGGATCCTGGCTTTAATCCCTGCGTGGTAACAGCCCTGTTAGCAGCAACAGTGACGCTTGGGTGTAGGAAGCATGGAATAATTGTGTGTTTAAGACAGAGTGGAAAGGAGAGAGCTGGCTCACCAAAGTCGGCATCGCAGGCCTCGCTGCCGTCACTGCTCCCGGCGTGCAGCACACCACCGGACAGCTTCACTCCAGGGTTCAAGGCACAGGCTTTGGCAATAGATGTCACAAGGTACTCATCGTCAGCGTTTCGCCAGCCCCACCAGCTGATTTCAGGCTGGCTGCAACGTGCAATCACTGCCCCATTGCGCACGTGTCTGCAAAAGAAGCGAGACCCTAAATGAAGATCCCTGAAGAGGTGAGGAACAACCCCAGGGAGCTTCCCCTCTGATTACTTTTGTGCCTCTACTCTGGAGCAGTGATTAAGATCAGCCTGCAGAGGACTTGGGGTGTTGGTTGGTGAGAAGCTCCCCATAACCTGGCTTCAGTGTGCACTTGAGCCCAGAACCCCGCTGTGTGCTGTGCTGCACTCCCAGATCATGACCAGCATGTCAAAGGAGGTGATCTTGACCCTCTGCTCTACTCTGTGAGACCCCACTTGCAGCACTGGGTGCAGTTCTGGTGTCCTCAGCATAAGAAGGACATGGAGCTGTTGGAGCAAGTCCAGAGGAGGCCACAAAGATGATCAGGAGCTGGAGCACCTCCTGTATGGACACAGGCTGAGAAAGTTAGGGCTGTTCAGCCTGGAGAAAAGAAGCTGTGTGGAGACCTCATAGCAGCTTCTAGTGTCTGAAGGGGGCTATAAGGATGCTGGAGAAAGATGCTTCATCAGGGACTGTAGTGATAGGACAAAGGGTGATGGGTTTAAACTTAAAACAGGGCAAGTTCAGGTAAGACATAAGGAAGAAATTCTTCCCTGTGAATGTGCTGAGGCGCTGGCACAGGGTGTCCAGAGAAGCTGTGGCTGCCCCATCCCTGGCAGTGTTCAAGGCCAGGTTGGACAGGGCTTAGAGCAGCCTGGTCTAGTGGAAGGGGCAGGTGGTTGGAACTGGATGATCTTACCACAGCTATGACAAGAAGCAGTGTGAATCAAATCAGCGGCCATATCTCAAAGACTTTGAAATCACTGTGGCACTCTCAAAAAGCCTCAGCTCAGTGCTCAAGAGAAGCAAAAGGGTTAAGAAGGCACTAGCAGTCATTTGGAAAATAATAAGACAGAAAGTATTATATAAAAATATAATATTTCACATCTTAAAGCATCTTCAAGATGACACAAATTTCTCTTGAATCCATTTCAAAAAGGATAAAGTAGTGCTGTGACCTCCAGAGAAGGGTGGCACAGACAAATCAGAGGTGCAGAAGAGCTTCGCTACAGGGATAATGTAAGTAGGAAACAGCTCCCCACCATGAGAGAAGGGCACAGATGGATGAGAGGCATAAAAGGTTATGAAAGGTATAAAAAGTGGGTTTGAAACATTAGTCTTATTTTTCCCTAACAGACATGGAAACAAGCACTGGAATGATCATGTCATATGCTTAACAAAAACAACAAGCATTTTTTGGACAACCAGCAAGCCAGACAGTGCAATGTGGAAGTGTGAATTGGTTCCAAAATGCATCGAAGTCATGGATGGAGGCCTACCAAGCAACCACAAAGCATAAGCCCACACTCTCCTGAGTATCTGTCGTATGAAAGCTCAGATAGTGGTTGCTCCAGAGATGCACCAGGGAAGAATACCAGCACACCTGTCCCACTGTGACACTTCCCTGTGATGCTGCTCCTGGGGACAGGATAATGAACCGGCTAGCCTTGCACCTCAGCTCTTTACAACAGCAGTGCCTGTCCCTCCGTACCCCAAGTGCCTCTCTGCAGATGAGCTGCAGTAAGGATGAAGAAGTAAAGCTCCTGACTAATCACATCAAAGTTTGTTTATGTGTAGGTCAGCACCTCTGAAAAGGTTGCTCTGATGGCCAAGTTGGGGTGTAACATTCTAGATCCTACTGCGCACCAGCACCACCCTCACCCCATTAGGCAAGGGCTGCTTAGCTACAGTGCTCTAGAACCACTCCTGAAGACATCTCTCTCCTGTTGCACCCCTGTAAGGGGCTCTGCTGTTCCACAGAGGAGACAATGCCTGTTCTTGGAGACACACCACAAAAATGTGTCAAGGCTTTGGACTCCTAACAGCTGTATGTGGTGTCTCTCAGCAGCTACTGCAGTTTGCAGGAACGGTTTCGCTTCTCAAAGACAAGGTCCCCTAATTCTCCTGAGGCAACTTGTCAATAAACACAGAAAATGTATTAACGACATCTCATAGACAACAATGATGAAGACTTTAAACTGCAGGGTCTTTTACCTTTTTGTGCTCTCTGTCTTCTTTTGCAAGGTGAAATACAGAACAGTCCTTCCCAGATCTATTCCTGCCTTCACGATCACTCAAGAATGGTTAACACAGACAGCAGCAAAGGCTTTGTTTATACTAGTAAATGAAACAGAGCCAAGGTGGGAACTCGAGCACCTGCCTATGATGGTGCAGGCTGGTTTGTGAGCACACCCACAGCTCCTGGCCTGCACCAACCAGCGCCTTCCCACTGCCTGAGCACGGTTTTGGGAGAGGCAGGTTCTGTGCCAGGGACTGCTCCTGACAGGCAGCTGGGATGGAGGACACTGTCTTGGGGAGCAGAGGCCACTTCAAGTCAGAGCAGCCTGCTTAATGCAATGGTACCGACATTGCCCAAGAGTCACGTCAGGTTAAGAAAACTTGCTGGCACAAACTTCCCAGCACTACGACAACTGCCAGGCAAAGGCTGGCCTTGAGGTAGCCAGTTTCAAGAGACACAGCAACATGCCAATAACACAAAGAAATACAGACAGCGTCGATGAGCATGAAGTCATCAGCAAGCAGAAAGTACATAAGGAGCCAGAGGGTGAACCAAAACCACAACTGAACTTGCAATGAGATTCCCAGGTCAGGAGAGCGCCCATGCCTGGACCGCATCCTTCTGCAGCTCTCCCAGAATGAGCATATGAAACATTTCAGGTCTTTCCTTACTGGGGATTTTTGTGGAGGTCTTCCTCAAAGTTAAAAAGCTCTTTTCTTGCCACTGTAGAGGCAGAAGGTGACAGAGTGGTTTAACTTATTCTTTAGGGATCCTCAGTTTAGTTTTAATGACTCGAGACCCTTTCAGAATCCACAGCTGGAGTATGAGGTGCCTTTGCAGTTTATCAATTATCGACTCCCAGATTTATTCAGAGTACAAGGCTAGAGCACACCTAAGACTGTTCACACATGCCATTTAACCCAGAACAATCATCCATAAAACATCAACTAATATCTCTTGAGACACTCTCTTATTTTCTGGCCATTTATTGCTCATACACGATGTAGAGTCAGCAGCTTAGCTTAAAACACAACAGCGAGCTGAGAGGCTTTACAGAGCTGTCACCTAAAAGTTCCCCACTGAGATAGATGTGCATAAGTGCCCTTATTCCCTGAGTCTCTGTGCTAAATTCCTGTCTCTGCCATGCTTCAAAAGCCTAAAACTGAGCACTCAAGCCATGGGGCTGGAGCAATATCCACTGTCTGGCTGCTGCTTCCCAGGCAGCTACTGCAGCACCAACATGGACCAAGGTGCTGCTGACCACCTGTGAGGAGCTCTCTTGCTACCATAGGCTCAAGGTCTTCTGAAGGTGGCTGTGCAGAGAGCACTCCAGAGGAGGCTGGCAGGCAGCACCCCTCTGCCTCTTGTCAGCTAAATAATTCAAGGCATCCTTTCCATTGTTTTAAAGGTGAATTGTGCCTGGATGCTCCTGCATCTCTCCTGTGCCTCTCTGAGCACTGTGGGCTCAGAGGGGGAGACCTGAATTTCTGCTTTGCTGAACAAATAGATTATACTTTTTTTTTGTAAGAAAACTCACCTTTGGTGTCATGTGTTACAGCTCTGACAGTGACCACATGAGCTCAGGCTTGCTTTCCAAAAGCTATGAAGTCTACCAATCAGTCCTGTTGTTACAGAGCCCGTGGGAGGCATGTGCCTGAGCCCACCTATCCACTCTCTCCTGAGCTATGACTGAGGAGGAGCTGAGTGCGAGGCGTTTCTTTTCTCTCCCTTCCATACAGCACAAGGCACTCCAGAAGCAGCCATGGCCTTCGCAGACCCGACTTTAAGAGATACACACTGGCAAGAATTTGTCCTATCTTGTAACATCACTTGTCAGCATCTTCTAATCTGATCCCAGGCTGCAAAGGGCTGCAGCTCAGCTTGTAAATTACCAGGTACTATTCCAGTGATATTATAAAGCAAGGAACAAAATAATTATCAGAGTAGCAAAAAGACAGGGCTTTGCCCTGAGGTGGGAGGCACAATCGGTAATCGCAAATACAATTAACTTCTTAGCTGACTTGGCTACAAAGAGGGAAAGGCTCCATGTGATATGCAGCATTTACTATTACCCTGTTTAAAATTTAGTTCTTCTGGAAGTAATACACTGTGTTTTGCCAGCATCTGACAGCCAACCGCATGACATGACATAAAGAGTTAAGGTACAAATTCACTGGGTTTGTTTCCCAGCTTTTGTACTTCTCAGGGTTGTCCTCTGTTGTGGAGCTCTGGTATTTTCAAAGTCTCTTATATTTGGATTTAGTAACTGCTAACAGAGTCTAAGGCTGACTCCACACTGTACATTTTACAACGCACACGCTGGTTGTGTGCACCTATTCAACCAGCCTCCCATTTGTTTCAAACATGTCAGTCTCCCAGGAAAAGTGTTTAGTGAGAAACCAGACCCCTACCCTGAAAAGCTCTGCTCTATTTGCTGCCTGGCCTCCTGCATCCCCCAGTACAGATAGATTATTTTTGGAAGGCTGACCAGGGACTATTTACCAGCCACATGCAAACATTTCACTCTGTTACCTCGATGTTGTCAAACTCTCAGAACTGGGTCAAAACAGAAGTGATTTGCAGTTGGGTATTAAAAGGAATGTCCAGGCCTGAGCCCTTAGTTGAGAGCAGGGCCTTGCAACAGGCCCATTTGGGTTGAGATTTCGTTTCAAAGTAGCAATCTGCAAAAAGGTTTTGAAACTCAGAGAATGTTAATGTGGCATTGAGCTCTGGCTGCACCTCCCATAGGAGGAGTCACCCACGCCTTCAGATCTAACTGAAGGCCACACTTGACTGCATGTTTTTTCCCCCCTTTGGGTGAACACCCTGCGCTACCACCGCAGGCTGCGTGTCTGGGGAGGCCAATGTGTGTGCTGGGAGCAGTCCTGGGAGCAGCACATTTTCAGGAAGGAAGCAAAAGGAATACACAGTGTGAGGATCAGGAGGCGGCTGTCGCTGTCATCCCACAGCCCCGTCCACATGCTCCGCTGACCTGGCTTCCCTATGCCCTGTGCAAGACAACAAGGAAAAGGGCAGCTGTCCTGGTGGAGGTACTGCTCTGGGTTCATGCTTACCTGTACACCACCACAGGGATCCTTTTCCATGACCTAAACGACGCCACGTTCTCTAGCTCTTTGTCAGTGATCCAGACAGGGACCAGCAGCTTCTGGGGATAACTGGAACAAAGCCTGGAAAAGAGAAAGGATGAAGGCAAGGTGAGGACTCAGACATCAGAAATTTGCTCCAGAGAAGCTGTGAAGAGAGAGGGAAGGAGCAGCTCACACCTCCCCAGACTCAGCATACAGGACTTTGGTTCTTCCCCTTCATATCTGTATCAATACAGTCTCAACATGGAAAAGTGACCTGAAAAACGCTGTCAGGAATGAGCTGAGAGATGTCCACCTCCTTTCACCTCAGGCTTCACCTCTGGGCCCATACTAAGCACCCCGGCACTTCCCAAGGATGCCTGTAAGAATTCATGCCGGTTTAGGGGAACAGTCATTAATTCTGTATAGGGTTTGGGTGTTCTTGTAGCACTTGCAAACCCAGAAGCACACAGTGCTTCTGGTAAATGACAATCTGCCACTTTGTGCCTTGCAGAAAACAGGTCACCACTTTTTTAAAGCTTTACACATCTTTCTGCAAGGAAGATGTAACTCTGCCCAGAAAGACGGCAGTGGTGGTTTGGTGTATGCTATGATGAAATGGCATGAGGGGTAACTAAGAGTGTATCTTGTTTGGTGGGGTGCCAGAAATCAGATTTCTAGTGTACATCTGACACATATTAGGAGCAAGAGGAATATGATGGGTAAGTCCCTACAAATCTAGTCCAGCAGGGAAGAAATTCACAGCATGCACAGCTAAGAGCAGGGGGCACCTAATATCACTGTGCAGAGCTGCAGGACCAGAGGAGCCTTTGATGTGCAAAGCAGCTCTGCTGAAATGGAAATTCAGCTGAGGAGGGTGAGGATGATGAGAGGAGGCAACAGGTTTGCAAATGTCCCAAGAAAAGATGTTAAAAACCAAACTGCAAGTACATTATCAGAGGGCAAGAGGGAAGCCAAGGGAAAGAGGGGGCCAGCCAGAGTGCTGAGAGAAGGGGAGAGAGCAGTACAAGTAGAAGGAAGTACAGGGGAAAATCCAGGCGCATAGGGCTGTGCAGCCCTATGCTACCATCCCTGAGCTCCAGCAGCCCAGGCAGACACAGCCCTTCAGGGCAAGAAACATCAAAGAGCAGCTCCAGCTCTAGGATATAACCCACATCATTCAGAAAGAATGTTTCAGGGCAGATGGGAAGCAAAGTGAGGGGGCTAAAACCATCCATCCAGAAGCTCCAGAGGGTGGCCTGGTGTTCCCTGAGCCCAGGCTATCCCAGCTGATGGCAACAGGCACAATGCAGTGCTTCCTATTCCTCAGCTCCTCCTGCTAGCAAGGAGCTGCCTGCCATGGGAGGAGATGGCACTTCTTCACCCACGGTCTAGACAGCTGCTCAGAAAGCCCCAGGCACAATGCAAGGTTGGTCTACAGGATAAAAACAACAGGGTGAGGAAGAGGAATCCACGAAGCAAAATTAAAGCTGTCAGGTAAGAAGCTGAAAATGAGGATGTCTGTGGTAGGATACCTAAGCCTGGACGTCTCTGAAATGCCTCAAGAGTCTCTGTGTAAAGTTGGACAGGAAATTAAGGCAGCAGTGAAGTGTGACTGAGAATAAAGGTATGTGGAAGACGGTTAGCATCAGTTAAGATCTGGAGGACCTTTTGGAATAGCTGAGTCTATACAAGTAGGGGTTTCATTGAAATAAAACCACAATCAGCTCCCTGGCACTTCAGATGAAACGTTACAGGAGATGTCTTAAACTAAAAACTGGGGAAATATAGTACAGGAGAGGTTCAGAAGCATAACTTCTAAGATTCAAGTCACTAAAACTCTGTGGCTTTTGGGAAACAGTAAGACAGAATTCAATAACACTAAGGTAGGAAACAGGACAGTCTCCAGAAGTTAAGCCAAATATAAGCAGGGTGCATAAAAAACAGCAATGGGGTCAAGACAAACAGACCTGTGCTTCTAGGCTAGAATTTCAAAAACTGAAGTAGAGGAACTGAAAAGCCAGGATAAAAAAGTGTTTGCTGGTGTAACAGCACCCTAGCAACTGGGTATAAGGAAAATTATTAGTGGTACCCCAAATTTCATGCTTTGTAGGAAGACCAAAATAGGCTGAGCTAGTGAGCAAAGTGTGGCATCTTCCAGGAAAAGGGAAAGGTAAAAGTGCAAGGCTCAGAGCTACCAAGATGCAGCAATGCAGAACGGGCACGGATCCAAATCCCAAGCCCAAAGAAAAACAGGACAGCACTGAGGCTGCACTACCAACCACTGCAGCGACAGTAACAACACCCACGAGAGGCTGGAATTGACACCGAAAGGCTGCAAGGGCAGAAACTGCAGTGGGAGACTTGTACTGCCTCCACATGAAACACAAAAGCATCACAATAACATGTAAGACAAAAATGACATTTTTAGACACCATCAGCTGCTTCTTGGTGCTGTCAGCCAAGGAATACAAGAGGACATGACCCTTTCTTCAGTTCTCTAACCTGCTCCACAAGAGAGTAACTGAAAAATCACTTTGCTATTACAGTATTAAGCACACAGCTGAATTCAACACTATTTTTAGCTTCCCATGACAGTTGTAATGAGTTTCAGAAAGGGAGAAGGAGGGTGCTTGCAGATAGTAAGAGAGCTATTCAAACATGCCCTTCAATGGTCACATAAAATGAACCAAAATATCAGACAGGGCTGGCAGAGTTACACAGTGAGCAAAAGAAGGATTTTAGAAATAAGGGCGTAAATGTTTCCAAAGGGCATCAGAGAAACCAATTGTGCGCCCGAGTTAGAAAAAACTAAACCCAAACAAGTGAAAATGAGACATATGGTGCAGTTTCTGAGAAATGACCTATCAAAAGATTAAAACTCTGAAGACTTTTCTCAAACATCTTGGAGGTATCAGCCTGCTGCCAGAAGGTCTAATAGATCCACAAGATCACAGCAGAAAATCAGGACTACTGGTGCTGGTGTTCAGCAGAAGAGCCACAAAGAAACTGCCACACCAAGCTCTATCTACACGGGATAAGGCACAAGAAGAGATTAATGTGGAAACTTCTGCAGGGGAAATTACAGCAATCTGCTGGGAACAAGGAGTAACTGATCCCCAGGACTAGACAGCTAGACAGTGCTCAGCCTTTGACGTGGAGCTGTTGGAGCAAGTTCAGAGGAGGCCACAGAGATGCCGCAAGGGCTGGAGCAGCTCTGCTCTGGAGCCAGGCTGAGGGAGCTGGGCTGGGTCAGCCTGGAGAAGAGAAGGCTCCTAAAGGGGAGACCTTAGAGCAGCTCCGGTGCCTAAAGGGGCTGCAGGAAAGCTGGAGAGGGGCTTGGGACAAGGGATGTAGGGACAGGCCAAGGGGAATGGCTTGAACCTGAGGCGTCGGGATGTTTGCAGGAAACTGCAGCCTGCTGGAATCCCCAAGTAGGAGCCCAGCAAGTTGACGGAAACAGAACCAGGCCTGCACCCAGCTCGCTGAGGTTTGTTTCAAGTTTTCTTCCCTAGTTTGCTTGGAAACAAAACATCTGTCTTTAAAGAAGTTGGCTGTGTATTACTGGCCAGGAAGTGAACCACAGATGAATACAAGCTGAACTTTCTGAAGCAGTCAGAGGAATCACATCCCAGAATCCAGCAGCACAGAAAGCCTGACTGCTGTCACAGACATGCAGAGACTGCCCAGGGCAGGGACTTACAGGGCATGCACTGCAAAACAGAGCAGTTCAGGAAAACAGTTTTCACTTTACATCCATGAAGAACCTGTGTAAATGCCATCAAAGTCATGTTAACAGTCCAAGAGCTACGATGTGGTCAGCAAGGCCAAGTAGGAACTCTTGAGTCATCCCTCAAATCTAGCACTTGCTGCCTGGATTCTTGTTGAAGAGAGAACAGGCAGCAAACTGCAGAATTCCACCAGGACTTCCCCAGGTTTCTCATGGTCTCCACAAGAAACCAGTGACCTGGAACTGGCCAGTCTAGAGGTGATGGGGCTGCTTTACAGCTGAGACAGAGAGAAAAGACTGAGGGATATGAGTTATTTCAAAAAAAAGGCTTAAAGGGAAGGCAGAACTGAAAATATCTGTCAAAGCTTGATAAAATCCTGCTGGCTTAATGCCACCAGCTGCAAAGAATGCAGCAGCGCTTCTCCAAGAGCTCCTGCATTCTTCAGTAGAAGACAGGCTGGAATCACTGACATGCTGATGGGAAAGACCTTCTAGTGATCTCCACTTCAACCTCCTGCTCACAGGGAGCCACCTCTAACACCAGATTATCAGAGACTTGACCTGCTGCAGTGCTGGAGAGCCCTCACCTCTGGTATCTGCCCCAGCACAGCACTACACTCCTGGGGAATGCATTTTTCCCCTCCCATGTCCACTCTGAACCTCCCAAGCTGCACCTTGTTCAGTTGTCTGCCACTGTCAGCAGTTTCACTCCATCACCTTTGCAAATGCCCTTCCAGCAGCTGCAGGCTGCAAGCAGATCCCCCTTTAGCCTCTTCTGCACCAGACTGACCAAGCCTCACTCGTTCCCAGGACTTCTAAGCATCCCCACAGCCCTCCACTGACCCACCCAGTTTTTCAGCAGAGCTGAATCACTGCCTGACTTCATGAAACCTTTGTGTTTTTAATTTCAAACAATGTGAGCATTTTAGAGAGAGTGACTGACCAGAAAGCTGACCCTACAATGGACGGTTCCTTCAAGACTCACCAAAGACTTCAAGGATGAATTATGACCACCACATTATAAATTACCCAAGTCAGCGTTTGCAGTTGCTGCTAGCTCTGACAGAATTAGAATGTTCTTGAAGGGACCTAAGATTATCCACTCCCAACCCTCTCCTATGGGTTGGGACACCTTCCACTAGATGTTTGGGCTTTATTCCTTCTTCAATTCCACTATATGAAAGGCAGAAAGAAGATCTGGCTCATGCTTTGAGGGTCATCAAGGCCAGGATGGAGGATTAGCTGGAGCCTGATTCACCACCTGCTCCGCATGGGGACTGTGGAGAGGAGAAGGTATAGAAAGAAGACAGTGAGGAGAGCCTGGTGGTGAAACACTCACTTGTAATTGTTGTTGATGTCAGAGACGCGCCAGACATTCTGCAAGTCAAAGCCCATCCTCACCAGCTCCATCTCAAACCGGTATTTCACATGGTCTCCTGGAAGAACACAGGACAGCTAAGTAGAACTGAGGAAATCTGCACATCAGTGGCAGCTCCATAGCAGCTCTCACAGGCTGGACAGAAACTGCAGGACAGCTGATGGCAGGGATCTTGCATTGAAAGCCAAAGAGACTTGCCCCTCATGGGGGTTCCTCTGGTTTTAGTTTGAAAGCAAGATCACCTCTCAGTTTCAGGGCACAGAGTGGAATGGAAGCAGCCCTCTCATGTCTATATGGGAGTGTGTGGGGGGGTTAATTTAATCCACTTTTGCCCTCCTGATAGAGGCAGCTTCCAAATGGACATCAGGAACCCCATGGCAGAGCAGTACTGAGCACCCAGTGTACCTCCTCCTCCCAGACTACGCTCACAGAGGCTGACTCAGGTTTTGCTCTTATGTTTTAGCCCACCTCACAAATTCTGGATACCTTTGTTGAGTATCACATCTTGTTAATAAATAAATACTGCCAAGCTCTTTGCCTCATTCACATCCTGCAGCAACAATTTCCACAGGAAGTTTATTTATACCAGAGAGTAATACTTTCTCTAAATGAATGACAGCAAGTATCTCCCAAATGCTGGTGTTTGGGACATAGCAAGGACATCTAGTCTACCTTTTCTTTATCAGCTTCTCTCAAGCGTCTCCTTCAGCCATACTATTCAACCCTATCCTGCCATCCCAGCCTGTGTTTGGACATTTCATTCTCTCCTCTAGTATCAGCACATTTTTATGTTTAAAAGCAGGTTTGTCACTCATTTTAATCCCCTTTCATTCATGAAGAAGCTGCTTAAAGACAAAGCAACTGCAAGTGAACTTTGTGGTTCCAGAGACGGGAAACTCCCGATTCATACAAAGGCATCACCACAGCTCTGGTTTTCTCTTTATGGACTCCGGGATGGCAGCTGTGCCTGTAAAGATGACCCAGACATCTCCACAGAGCTGGCCACAGGAATGGCACAGCATTTCTAGGTATTGGAGAAGTGGCTGGACTCATTATGCTGCCTCAAGGCTAACAATATTTACTATCCAGGGCCAAGCCTGCTTGAGCTCACCAGCATCATGATGAGAGTATTGAAATATGACAGGTTTTCTTCATTCACAACGGGAAAGGGAAAAGCTGCTCATGTGTTGCTGGCTCAGAATGTTCCTTATTGTTATTACTATTTTATTATTCTATTATTCTTTTTTTTATTATTATTCTTTTATTACTATTATTCTTTTACTGTGCCTGATATCCAGACACATCTGGCCATCAGCTGGATCTCTAGGCCAGGTACAGGATGCCCCTCAGTAAGGTGAACTTGGGCTATGGCTACAGCAGACCTTAAGAGACAGCCAGATATGAGTTTATGAACAAGAGTTCAAAGTGCACTGCAGTTTTTCTGGACAGAAGAGAAAGAAGGGGGCAGGCCAGGAGCCTACCTGGACGGCAGAGATGTGCATGTTGATCCTCCTCATCAACACAGACTCCTAAGCACCATGCATGGTAGGCAAATGCGAAGAGGTCCTCAGGCTTAGCAGGGCGGGCGATGGCTCGAGTCAGCCTCTTCAGCCACTCCTGGCACTGCTTAAAGGTGGAAAAATGGCACCTGCAAACCCAAACGCAAACTCTACTGAGTAGGTATGTTCATCCAGACAAGGCACACACATCCAGCTCTGCTCCTCTTAACCAGGAAACAGAACAAGCACCAAGTGTCAGCAACCTTGGCCATGAACTGCTCAATTCCAGGAGCAGCACAGGGGAAGACACCAGAGCTGATCATGGCAATTAGCCTGCAGAGATATCTACAACACAGCAATAAAAGAGATACCTGATCACTTTGGAGTCCTTGCAGACAATGTGAAGCTGGAACATATCCCGGCACTCCACACTTTCCATCATCCTCAAAGGCACCTGTAAGGGAGAGATGTAGGGCATAACAACACATACCACATGAAATAGACACATCTATTGCAGCCTCCCCTGCAGGCCCATTATGCACAGTCACAGCTCCTTCAACAATCATGAGCTACAAACCCACTCTGAGGTGTATGAAGCATCATGACTCAGCATAGAGCCTCCTTCAACAATTACTATTCCTATTTCTATTCTGTCCCTAGGTAGTCTCCCACCTGGGGCCAGTTCCTGACTAAATCACACCCAGACAAACGCAGGAACTGAGCCAAACAAAAGCTGCAATAAAAGATGGCAAGTCAAGACAGCGAGAGGAGGCCTCAGGCTCCCACTGTCTGACTCTCGGTTGTTGGTCTCTAGGTAGAAGACTCATTAAAACTGGCTTGTAGGAGACCTTAACAGTCTTAAAACTGCCAAGTTTAATTCTTGAATTTAAAGAGAACAGCAAAGAAAAGACCTACCTATTACCTAAAGGAAAAACCCCTCCACCCATCAAAGTGCAGCAGCAAAACAGCAACTGCATGACCAGCAGTAACTAGAGACAGCATCAGGCTTGGCATCCTTCAAGAAGCACAGTTCCTATGCCACAGACCATGGGAATGGCTTATGCCCCACTGCAAAATACTGTGAGAGATTCAGCAGGCAGAAAAGGCACATTCAGACTTACATTGATCACAGAATCTTTGAATTTGATATGAAGCCGGTAGTTGGAGATGGCGATCACTGCGTCGTTTGCATGGCCAAGGTATTCCACTCCCTCACCCTGCAACACAGTGAATGGGACCTGGAAGAGAGACATCATTCCAAGACTACTTTATGCACCATAAACGCCAAGGGTCCTTTTTCCTACTGCCTCCACAGCGCATCTCCTGCAGGAAACCATTCACAGCAATGTGCTCTTCACGCACTGAGATTAAACAACAGCATGGAACAGTACCGGTACCACCACCCAGTCCCACAAGATGGATCTTCTTCCAAGGATGCCTTATGAGCCATCAATCACCTCCTGATGGATCACATCCTGGTAGTGTGACAATACATGCTGTGCACACTACCTCTGGGCACCTGGTAACAGGGTCTTTCGTGGGGGCAGAGGGATTTATAGTCTCTGCTTTTGGAGAGAGTAAACTCAGCCCTGGCACAAGTGGCATGATAAAGGACAGGACCTCAGGCACAGTTCAGACACTGGGGAGTGCTCTGCAGAGCTCCAGGTGAAGCCTGAGGCGATTTGCCCCAAGGCAGAGTGTCCCATATGTGACCCTGCTGCCTGTGTCCTCTAAATGAAGGGGGCTTTTAGCAGCGCTGCAAGAACCACTGCTGCCAATCCAGATAAGTAAACGCATTTGCCTAATTTCTGCTAAAAAGGCCCTGAGGGAATTTGTGTGGCTGAGGAAATGACACTGAAGTTACCTGGATTAGAATTAAAAAAAAACTAAACAAAATCCAGGCAATCAAGTGTCTGGTTTCCCCCTCAGCCTGGACAGGCTGTGGCTGGTTTTCAAAACAGGGAATGCTGGGACATGACAAGTTTGAATTTTGTTTTCTTCTATTTAAAAAAATAGGCAGAACAGACTAAAATTCAGCAAAGTCCTTTGTCCCCAGCCCAGCAGCCTCCTGTGTGCCCTGAATGCCACTAACACCAGGCGATGCTGCTAGCCAGCGATGCAAGAAAAGTCACAAAGATTTCTCCTTCCAGCCAGAGCCCTTTCCCTGCTCCACAGGGCACCTGACAGAACAATTCACTGTAATTAGCACAAGTCAGACCAACTTGTCTTTATTTCTAAGTTGCTTCTATCGCTTGGGTATATGCTGCCTAAAGATTGAACTTCAGGCTTCATGTGTGACAACTGTACTATTAACTTCTCCCTTAAGTTACTTGTACAAAAAAACCAACCTTAGACTGGCGTCTGTCTGAATATTCTTTAAAAATTCTAATTATTTGACATTAAGAGAATATACTCTTTTATTTCTGCAGTTTATTTATACATGCTTGCCAGAGCTGTTTTTAGTTGACATGTGTTTCTTATGCTTATGTGGCTCTTTCACACAGCAACAGAAGGGAGATAGATTAGAAACAGGATGGCAAAACTGCAAGAACTGACAGAGGGAAATCCTGGAATAAACTGAGAAGTGCCCAAATAGAGCCTCTTATCAAGCCTTTCACACTTCACTTTACCTTAAAGTAACAACTGACTGAAGGCAAGTTACCCTTTGGGAGGGCTGAACTTCACGGTCCTCTAGAGAGAAGACCACAGCAGATTCCATTCTCCAGGTCATCTCAGCTCAGGGTCCTCTCAGTGGCTTCCCCTCCTCAGGGCCGCAGATCTGCAGCCTTGACCCTCTGCAACTCCTCAGTCACATCCACTCCTTCAAGTAAATCATTCCAGTGTTTGCCTTTATCAGCACCATTCACCAAGGTGATGCCAATCACTAAACAAACCCAAATACTGCAGCAGCAGTGGGAACACACAACTGAGCCTGGCTCCAACCACAAGGGGAGGATGATGAGCACTGGGCACTGTTACAGGAAGGCCCAAACACCAGGAGGCTCTGGCTCCCCCACTCACAGTATTGCCTTTCTGCACAGGAGCAGCAGTACCCAGGTCTCCTTCAAGGGCTTTTTGCAGTGGGAGCCTGGCACCATATGGAGATTTCTCTTTCCAACAGCTCTGATGCAGGAAAATGCCAGGAGCAACGTGTACTAGGGCCAGCTCAGCCACTGCATTGCACACTAGAGCTGCACCAAGCCCAGCCCAGCCCTGATACTCAGCCTGTCCCAGAGAGCATCTACCTGCTGCAGAGCTACACAGGCAGCACCACGGTTCCTGACTGTCAGCGCAGGCGGACAGGGAACACCCAGCGCGGTGCTGGATTGCATCATGCCACTTACAAGAAGCAGAGGAGATGCTGTACGGGTTGTAGTGCCTTGGCAGGGCTGAGAAGGCTGGGCTGGGGCACAGAGAGCTTTCAGCAGCAGCCTCCACACACGCACACAGAACGACGTGGCTGGTCCAAATGTGACCCACAGTTCTGCTGGCCCACAGCCTCCAGAACACGTCCTGGGCTGCAGAACTGCCCTTGGGTTTCACACTGCCACAGTTGACCCTGACACAACTGCCACATCCCAAAGCTGTTTTGTGTTTCTTACTTCCTTACCTGCAATGACTCTTCCTCCTTTATGAGCTCTTTTGGTGGGAACAAGTCCTTGGCCTGGATATACTCCAAACTGGGAGGGCCTTCCTCACCCTGCATTACAAACAAAACACACATTGAGACAGGCCCCAGCCAGCACGTGTCATGAAAAGCCCAAAATCAAAGATGCTGGATGCTCTTGGTACCCCAATACCTTGGGGATCCCCTGGGCCTGTGCATGGCAATGGCTGTTCTGCCTCCTGACCACACTCTGCACTGCAGGACCCCAGCAGTTCCTCTGGCTCCTGCAGAAAACCCACAGCACAGTGAAGGGAAGGACTGAGGCAGGTCTCCAAGTCCTGTCTTCCAACTGCATGGCATTTGGAAAGCCAAGCAGATACACCTGGACCATGCACAGGATCTTGAGATAGTGTTGTCACATCAAATGTTACCTCATCACCTTCAATACTGCACCAAAACCGAAACACTGTGACACAAAAAGGTTTTCATCTACAGTCCTACTCTTCCTTCTGTATTGATAAGGACTGCTTACTTTTGGGAGTTTTCATTTTCACTCTTAGCCCAACGGGATCTGGGAAGAACCTGAAGAAGCTTTTTGAGGAGAATACACCAGGGTGAAATGTAACCCTGTAAGAACTGCATCTAAGTACATGCAATTCACAACATGACACTGACTGGTGACAGCACCCAGGATATTCCTCCTCAGGGCAGTCTGACCTGCCCAGAAAGACACCCTGAAAAGCTACAGATGCCTCAGAAGTGGTCTGAGAGGACACAGGGTTGTTAACTGGATTATCTTTAACACCCATTCCAACCCAAATCATTTTACGATTCTGTGATACACAGAACTTTGACACACCACCCTTGGAAAAGTGGAGAGAGTCTCAGTTTGGGGCCTGTGAGTCTTTGATCACTCATGAAGTCTCGGTCCCTGTTTTCACCAACCCTCACCCCATGCTCTGTTGAAGCACTGACTTGCTGTATGAATGAGGAGAGGATGCTCGCTGCTGTGAGCCCAGGATAGTGTTAATTCCACACATATTTGGCGTGAGTATGTTTTCTTCAGAATGCCTCTTTGCTCTCTAACTATAGCTCCTCTAGGTTCCAGCATTTACTAGGAAATACTCTATTCTGTAAGCATTAAATAATACTTCTAAATGACATATCTTTCTGGGTAAGTTACCTAAGCCATGACCCCAAATTTTAGTCCAAAGAAGCAAGAACCATCCCTTTGGCTCTGTTATGTATAAATGATGCTGAATTCTGTTAAGTCGCTGGCATCCACTCAGGTTTTGGCACCTACAGGCACAGCCTGGCCTGACGTGCTCCCTGGACCTCAGACTGTGGCAGCCAGACTCAGCTCAGCTCCTCTCCAGCTCCAGGACATGGGGTACGGCACCTGGTCCAGCAGCCACCGGTTACCGGGGACTGCAGGGGACTCGGAGGCCTCTCCTGCCAGTGCTGTGAGGCCGAGGCACTGGCTCAGATGAGCACAAAGGGAAGCTGCATGCCGGCATGGTTCCGGGGAGCAGAGATCCTCTCCCAACACCACTTTGCAGTTTGCAAAGAAATCCCAGTGAGCAGCAGGAACTGGAACAGGGCAGCCTGAGCCCTCCGCTGGCTGGGGTGTCCTTGCATCCCTCCTCACCTGCAGCGTGGGGACACGGCAGGAGGCTGAGCATCATCTCCTGCCACAGCCCTGTCTCAGGGTACCAGCAGGGCAGTGGGATCAGAACCCTGCTCTCTTCACGAGCCAGCATCCCCTGACACGCTCAGAGCCCATTCGGCCACAAGGCCTTTGGGGCAGCAGGGTGGGGGGCTTTCTGCAAGAAGGGGCATCAACTCTCCTCTGAGCAAGAAAACGCCTTTCCCAGAAGGTATAAGAGATGTCGAGCTCAGAACCCCTCCCCCTACAATATCACCCTGGCAGCACCAGCACGGGAGGAGGACTTGCACAGCACTGCCTGTCACGCCACAGCCACGGTGGGAGCACAGAACTCCCCTGGGGTTGGCTCCTTTCACAACGTAATTTTCCAGCTCCAGGCAGGGACTGGCTGCAGCCTGCGTGGCGTGGCATGGCACGGCACTGCACACCACCGCACAGCACAGCATGGCACGGCACTGCACTGCACAGTATGGCACCACACAGCATGGCACAGCACTGCACAGCACAGCACGCCATGCCACGCTCGGCAGAGCCTTCCAGCCAACTCAACCCGCCATGCGGACACTGCTGTGCCCTTGGTCCCGGGCACGGCAGCAACACAGCAGTGACAGGGGCCATGGTGTCCTCCAGCTGCACATGGGAGGGAGGAGAAGGGGATACCCTTTTGCGGGGGCAGGGGGTGGCGAGCCAGGCCTGGCAGGAGGATCGACACGCAGCCCGGCCTCAGTCAGCAGGGGAGCTGGATGGGGAAGCTGGATTCCAGCCCTGCCTGCATGGAGGGAAGGAGGGTGGGGGTAAGAAAAGAAGCACTTACGAAGCAGTTGAGCATGGAGCAGGAGACGCGGCCTGGCAGACTCATGTTCATCTCCCGAGGCGGCGGCTGGGCCGGGCACGCTCAAGCAGCATCTCCTTCCTCCGGTGCCCTGCTGCTGCCGGCCCCGCAGCCGCCGCGCCGGGACTGCCACTGCCGCAGCCGCCCCGCTCCGCCGCGCAGGGCAAGCGCATCCATCCCGCTGCCCGCGGCCGGGCAGGTGCCGCCGCTGACAATGGAGGAGGGAGGGCGGAGGACGTCCAGACTCCACCTACCTCCGAAGGCCGCCGAGCACGGCTCTGCCATCCAAGCGTCTCCCCGTGAGGCGAGACAGAAAATGGAGAGAAGGTCGCAGGGATCAACCCCTCCCCTCCCCATCCCGTCCTCATCCGCACCCTGCCGATGGTCGGATGGCAGCACCGCAGCCCCCTCCCCGCCGGCCCGTGCGCGGAGCGGGCTGCCGGGAGATGCAGCCCCGGCCGCGGTCCTTCTCCCGCTGGCAGCAGCCTCGTGCGGCAGGAGCGCCGGGAACAATAGCGATGAGGAGGCTTTGTGCCCCAGCACTGAGCGCCGCGCCCGGGTCATGCGCCCGGAGGTCAGTGGGAGCCTCCGCTTGCAAACGGCTGCCTGGGATCCTCCCGCCGGCCCTGAACCCCTGCCCAGGACAAAGGGGCTGCCCTGAGGCTTCCTTACTGCTGCATCATAGAACCACATGTGGTTAGTGTCGGAAGGGACCTTAAAGCTCACCCAGCTCCAACCGCTGCCACGGGCAGGGACACCTTCCACTAGAGCAGCTTGCTCCAAGCCCCTGTGTCCAACCTGGCCTTGAACACTGCCAGGGATGGGGCAGCCACAGCTTCTCTGGGCACCCTGTGCCAGCGCCTCAGCACCCTCACAGGGAAGAGCTTCTGCCTGAGAGCTCATCTCAGTCTCCCCTCTGGCAGGTTAAAGCCATGCCCCTTGTCCTGTCCCTATATGCCCTTGCAAAAAGTCCCTCTCCAGATTTCCTGTCAGCCACTTTGAGGGGCCCTAATACTCCCAAGACTTTATGCCCTCCTTCCCAGGACCTCCTGTGTGTGCAGGGAGTAAGTGGATGTCTCCGACTCTCACCACCACTCACCTGCCAGAGGGTGGTCTCCAGTGTGGACAAGGTTCTCTGGGCCCACCCCCTGGACAGTTAAATCCTGCTGGAAGTTTCACCAACTCCGTTTTAGCAATGCTTACAGACCTCTGGGAAACACCTTGGGTGCAGGAAACACTGTGGGATGAACACCCAGCTCCCAGCCCAGCCCCCCAGGAGCTGACTTTTTCTGCCTGTTTGTCAAGTCCAGGAACAAACTGCAAGCTCCCTGGACCACAGCCCGTCACAGAAGCCACAGGACAGCAGCTTCCTGGGCAATGCCATCTCCATTTCCATCATCAGCTGCTGCTCTGCCCTCCACCTCCCATCGCTGAGACAGAGTGGCAATCTCATTTTAAGAATACAGAATTAAAACCTAGACCATCATTAATCCTCCAATGCCCAGGCCCAACCATTTTGCTTAAATCACATCAGCTTTTTTGCTCCTGGACCACCAAAACTGAGCACAACCTGTAGTCATTAAGCTCCTCTTAGATGTGGTTGCTCCAAAGATACCACCAACAGCTCTACGTAGCCATACCAACAGCACCTTGAAAGGTTTTACTCAGGTCAGATAAAAGATTTGGATATTTAGGGTTAGAGCTGATGAAGGTACAGCTTTGCAACACCCAGACCCACTGCCCACTGCCAGTGTAGGGCAGGAGTGCCCAGCAAAAAAACACTCAGTGACCTCCCTCACTGAGAAAATATGCACAGGAAGAACCCCACAGACCATGGTCACACGGGCTTTGCTATTCGGGTTAGAAGCCCTAGAAGGAAACATGACCATGCCTGGAGAGAAGCCACCACCTCAGCTTCATCTCACTCCACCATTCACATGGTGGATGGTGGGCAAACCTCAGGCATTTTCCAGCCTTGGGGGCACCCACAAACCAAAATGAGTTTGTGTCACGTACAGTCAACACAAGTTGAGCAGAGGGCTATGGACAAGGTTACAGATTTGTTTTGGCCAAGACCAAGTGGTAGGAGTAGTGCCGTGCTCCCCATAGGCTCTTCTCTAGGATGAATTCCTGAGGTCTGCTGCAAAACCTGCAAGGAACCTGTTATACTGACCTGTAACAGGAGACAAGCACCAAAGCATGTCTGTCACTAACAGCAGACAGAGAGAGAAGTCTTTACACTCAGAGCACACAGCACCTGACCAGTGCTTCTAACACCAACCCATGGAGGAGGTCTTGCTCTGACCCACAGCGAGATCTTTAGGACCAGCGCTCACCTCAGGCCCGGCACAATGACTGTTTCCAGTTCAAGGTGCAGAAGAACCTTTGTACTCCTAAGCTGCAGTTGCATTAAAAGGCTGCTCATCAGAGCATTACTTTGAATCTCCAACCTAAGCTGACCTGAACATCCATAAATAGATCTCTGCTTTCAACAAAATGGTTTTTGCACTTTTAGCATTAGGAAGACTCACACATGGCTCAAACATCTGCCCCAGCGCTGAGCCTCGTGAAGAGCAGAACTAGACCTTGCCCTGA